ATTTTTCATGAGCTTGGATTYAATCCACTTCCACAGTGGTTTAAACTAAGCCAGAATAGCTAAAGTGGCTTTACACTTACAAATATTTACATAAAGACATAATTCTACTAATGTCCAATAACTATTACCAGCTATTTTTCTTTATAAATAAGAATGGAAAAACACCTCGTGCAATCTGACGTTCCTCAGCAAACTGGGAGAGGATTATTTTGAAATTTGAAATTGGATAACCCTTTTCAGAGAAGTCACATGGGTCTGCCCAAATACATGTCCCAGGAACAGGAACAGGAACACAAGCTCAAAAGAGTTAATCAGAAGAAGCTGAATTAAGTGTGCACACAGTTTATCTTGAGGAATAAAAAGCCACACTCCTGTCTCACACCAAGTTCTAAATTCATTAATGTGACAGACATTAAGTGTAGGACTTCATTTCCTTTACAGATCTGATTGTGAAAGACTGTTCCATCTGACACAAATTTTGTCCCATGGGACCAGGTTCCAGGGTTTTTCTCAGTGTATTTATTTTGGGAAGKAGSRRYARMRGWGRTGRTAWTTACTGAGCTGGCAAAAATKAAACAGAAATTRACTGATAGCCAGCCATGRGGGCTGAAATRCTTGAGYTATTTGTGAGGMAGGCACAGAGGAGACAAYAGCAATTTGAGATTTTCCATTTKATCTCAACCTCAGCYTCCTTTCCCTCCCTTCCATACCAARAGGTATTTTGAACTYAGTCYCTTCCAAARGGGRACCTTTCYAAAGGTACTGGCAATGAACACATCACTGCCAGAGCAGCTCCTGTGAGGTGTCAGCTCACATAACCAGCCCCAAAGCCAAGTGAGGATGAGGGCAAGAACAGTGAGGAGTCAGGGAGCTCAAGGCTGAGACACACATGCTGAATTAATAAGTAAAGTTCTGGCCTTTCCAGGTGCTTTGAAATGCATCCCGTGTCTGCTGCCTTTTTTTTGTACCAGTACTGTGAAAATCATYCCTCCATGACCTTGCTCTGTACAGGAGATCCACACAAAGATCCCTTAATAAGTGACTCCAAGGCAGGTACGTGAAGGGATTAAAGAACCAGTGAAAGTCTTGAAGAATTACAGTAAGTTCATAAAAAGTGGCAGGTGTTTGACCAGAGATCATCCTGTCCTGTGCCTGAACATCCCATGCTGTTGTTAAAGGCGTTCAGTGTGTGCCTGGTCCTCTCCACGGAGATTCAGAGAGGGACAGCGATGTCTCCAGAGGGCGAGCAGTTGTCATGGTGATGGATGCATGTGTGCTCAGAGGGATGGAGGGAGGGAGAGCCACACAAAACCATCAAAAAGCMAAGATTTTCACAGTGCCTGACAAACTCTGGGTGCCCAAACTGTGGCATCCCACAAACAGCACTGATGGGCAAGGAATGCTGGAGTCCTGCAGCAAGGGAAGCCCTGTCCTGGGAGGATCAGTTTGATTGAGCTCATCGGACATTTCTGCAGCACAAACACCACATTCAGTCCCCACAGCTACATCCATTCTATAACCCATGGATCACTCTCATAAAAGCACAGACCAGGCTGGTGTCAGTGCTGGYCACCTCTCAAAAGTTTGTGTCAGGGGTAAGTCTGCATCAATGTCTCGTGAAAGCCCCATTTCCCTTACATCTGGTTACACAAACCTCATGTATTTGACCAAATCCCTGTAT